GAATCGCAGTGCTTGGGTTCAAGTTACCCTTATTTTACTTAATAATGACCCCAACACACAAGATTGGTGATGCTGGCAATTCAGGTATGCCAAGGAGAAGCTGGAAAATGCTTCTTCTAAGTGAAAATGTGAAAGCTCTCACATAAGGAAAAATGGGAAGTTTCTCATAAGTAAAAAAAAAATCATATGCTGAGGTTGCTGAGGTCTGTGGTCAAATTCTCTATCAATGAAATTGTGAAGAAGGAAAAAGAAATCTGTGCTAGTTTTGCTGTTAAAACTCAAACTGCAAAAGTTACGGCCGCGGTGTGTGATAAGCATTTTGTTACTATGGAAAAGACACGACATTTGGGAGTGGAAGACAGGAACAGAATCGTGGTCTGACTGATGGCACCCTGTTGTACCAGAAAGCACTGAGCCTATACAGCAAGGGACCCCCTGAAAAGAGTGTCACAAGCCATTTACTGCAAGTAAGGGCTGGTTACATAGATCGAGGAAGGTCAGTAGTAGCCTAACGCCATGTCACAATGCCTACGTCATTACCTGACCTCCTGTCCTCATTTAGGCATTGCACCATCTCACACCATCAGGGAAGGGTGAATACAGCACAGAGAGAGCGAGAGAGAGGCCACACTCACAACTTTCATTACAGTATTTTGTTACAATTGTTCTTTGTATTGTATTATTAGTTGTTGTTAATTTCTTACTGTGCCTAATTTATAAATTAAGCTTTATCATAGGTATGTATGTGGAGGAAAAAACATAGTATATGTATATGCAGTTTTAGGCATCCACTGGGGGTCTTGGAATGTATCTGCTACTAAGTAAAGGGTAGGGTGGGGTGGGGGGCAGATACTGTACATTTAGAGACTCAGCCCAAAATAGAGAGAGAGAAGGCTAAGGCTTTTATCCTTTTCCTGTCCTGTAGTCTTCGGCCAGTGCTCTCCATTGGCCAAACCTATTCAGAAAGGCAGAGAGCAAAGGAACCTGGGAAATGTAGTTCTCTGGAGTACAGAGCAGGGCACGGAGGGGCAGGGAGTACGTAGCATTTGATGTGAATTCAAAAAATTTGAACTGACAAGGAGTCCTGCTACCACAATCTACAATTTGAATTCTCTTTGAGGAATGCCTAGCTATTTTTACTGCCTCACAGACCCTCTACTATGAAAGCTCACCTTAGGTATTTTTTGGCCATATCCTTTCTACAGGATTTATATAATCGATGTAAGAAATAGTTTCAAACTAGCACAATTATAACCTATTATGTGCTCTGGAATCACATTTGCTATTATTAATCTAGGAAATCATCTGTTTATGGCGCATCCTAGAGCAGAGTATCTCAATCTTTGTAAATATGAGGACCCTGCAGAAATATATTTTTTCCTTGTTAGGAAAGTAATAAGTATTTAATGATGAAATATTATAAAATACATAGACTGCAAAATTTAAAAAAAAATCTTCATTTCATCATCTACAGATAATTACCATTGCAGTGTGTACACTTCCATTTATTTATTTTTATTTCTCATATATGAGGTGCTTCAAAAAGTACATGGAATATTCCTATTATATTTCAATTCTATTTTTCCGTGAGCTTTTTGAACTACCCTTGTATTTGTACATAAAGATATTGATTTAGACAAATACTAGTATATATACAAATATATATATATATATGCACAAAATTAGGTAACTTTTTAAAAATGGCATTCTACTATACATGTTCTTTAATTATCTGCTTTGGTCATTAATGAGTCATAAACACTTTTATTTATCACTAATTATTAATTCACAAAATTAATTGTTCTGTAGTGGTTCAGTGTAAGAGTGAATGTATTATATTTCACCAATTCTCATTATTTTGATCTCAGGTGGTTTTCAGTATTTGCTATTATAAACAACACTGAAAAGGAAAAGTTTATAAATAAAACCTTATGCATAGCTATCTTTATTTTTTATCATAAATTTCTAGATGTACAATGTTTTAGAAAATAATAAAATTTAATAAAAAAATTATAAAGCCAAAATGCACTTCATAATTCCAAATTGACATAGTCCAACTTCAAAGAATAAGAGTATCTATTTCTCCACACTCACAGCAAAAGTGTTCATGCTCACTTATTTCATTTTTTTAAGATCTCTTTTTAACATAAGAAATAAAAGTTTCTTCCCCCACCACAATTTCAGACAACTTGAGTTCAACTTTTGGCATTGGTTACTTGAGAAAATAGATGCACAGACGTGGGTTCTCAAACCCTTTATGAGGAGTGGTCCATCTGCTAACATTGCCCATGCAATTCTTAGAGATGCAACACATCAGTTGAAGACCACTGGCCTAGAAACTGTAGCAAATTTGGTACCATAATACCCAAATTAGAGATTATAATAAAGCACAAAATTTCATTTGAAAGAATATCATGTTGATGAGAAGTGAAGACCACTGGCCTAGAAACTGTAGCAAATTTGGTACCATAATACCCAAATTAGAGATTAAAATAAAGCACAAAATTTCATTTGAAAGAATATCATGTTGATGAGAATCCTCAATCAGAACAGTAGGGAGAATGGTTTCCACTTTATTGGTTCATCCACGTATAGAATTACTGCATGCTCAGGGAGGTTTTCCATCTGGGAATAACTCAAGATTTTCCAGAGCAGTATTTGAGAAAATGAGACTTGTCAAACTCTTGTGTTCTATGAGCGACACCAGGACACTTTATGAAAACAGTTTCTCCTGGGTTTTTGTCATGGTCAGGACTTTTTTGATAGCAAGTAACAGAGAGATTTCTGCTGGCTCAGGCAAAATAGGATTCAGGGATTAAACAGAGCAGGCATCTTTCTATTTCTCCCTCTTTCTTTAGCTCTGTGTCCCTCTGAGTGTTAGCTTCTTTCTCAGACAGTCTTTCTCCCAAAGTTGGAAAAAACGACCTCTAATAGCACTGAGTCTAGCTTATACTCTTACAACTGCTGATACAGATCAAATACAGAAAAAGAGAAATCCTCTCATATTGTGCATCAGATACTAGACAAGACAATAATTGGCCCTGCTTGCGTCACCTGTGGAGATGGTAAAAGAACATCACTAGGACAGTTAACCCCACCAAGACCATTTGGAGTTGGGGAAAGAGAATCCCCTAAAAACAAACAGCAAACAAACAAACAAACAAAAAAACAGATAACAGGCTGACTAGCAATTCTCCTCCACTATTCTGTCTAGTAGACCTCTCTGAAGACTGTCCAGAGAGCAAAAGCATTGTTACAATTAATTGCTTCTCCCTACTTAGAAAAACCAGCAGTCACCAAAATCAAGACTTGAGACCAACATTTCTATTTCAAAGGCTGTTCACCAAAACATGGCTGAAAGCAGTGGGACATTTAACTGGGTAACTGAAGTAGCTGGCTGACTGGCTGGAGGAAAGCTAAAGGATATAAAGGGTCTCTTTATGAATTGAGGAAGCAACATTTTGCTAGAAAGTGACAGAAATCTGCTTGCATTCTATGGAAAAGTCTGTTGGCCTTTCTGCAGGTATTTGTTTTCATGAGTAACAGATAACCACGGACTAGTGTCTTTTTAAATTGCAGCAATCTACGTTTAATAACATCAGTAGAAATAATGTGTTGTGGAGTTCCCTTAAGGTCAGTGGTTATAAATTCACTTGCATAAAATTTAACATAAGCAATAGCCTGACATACTGAATATTCGTATATTGTACCGTATTTAAAAACAATGAAAAAAATTCTAAAATTTTCACATGAGCTGCATTTATTCATATGCTCCTAAACTTTCTCTCTGTTGTTTCTACTGGCTTTCCTTTGGGAAAACAGACATTCACGTAAAATCAGCATAAATTCTTCACTTTCTTTGCATGTCTATATTTTTACTTGATGATAGCTCCTTTTCCTGTCATTGGCTAGACTAGATATGGCCTTTTTCTTTTCTCCATGTTTCTCCTTACACAATTTTGGTAGACAGCAGAGAACCTGGGAAACAATGCTGGGCAGTGAATATCAGATTTTGAAATCATATTTTTTGTTAATTGTGTAATCTTGGAAAAGTTTTCTAAGCCCCTTTGAGTCTCAGTTTCTTTTCTGTAAAATTAGGAAAAATATACTTACCTCAGCAGGTCAATGTGATTTGAAATCATATTTTTTGTTAATTGTGTAATCTTGGAAAAGTTTTCTAAGCCCCTTTGAGTCTCAGTTTCTTTTCTGTAAAATTAGGAAAAATATACTTACCTCAGCAGGTCAATGTGAGAATTAAAGTTAATAACATATAAAGTTTATAATACATTTCCTAAAAGATAGGAATCAATAAGAGCTGTTATTATTTATAAAGGACGATGTTCAAGATAAAGACAAAAAACCCAATTGAGTTTATTCAGGCAGCAAGATCAAATATTTGCAAGGCAATAACACTAAGTGTTGTGTTCCGATATATATTCTTTTAATTAAAAACCAAGATCCCAAAATTGGTTCATGATAATTGAAAAACTCATCGATCTTTCATACAATGAGAAGTATAAATGCTACAGCTTGTTTCTTTAAAGACATTTGTGTTTGGTGCATATTCTTGTCTTAAATTACTTAAAAATGGATCAGGCATGTTGTTTTTACTATGAGCTGATATATACTTAAAATCTTAAATTTGCTTTGTCTTTACATTGTTTTGAGTAGAAAATTCTCTTCATCATATCCCTAAGTTGTTATTAGAAGATGTATGTAAAATCTACACAAACTCTTTTATCTCCAGAGCATCCTTTAAATAGTCTGCCCCATAATTGAGGTCAGGTGGCAGCCCTCAATGAAATAAATCTTGATTGAGATTAAGATGAATGACAGCACTGTTTGCCAAAGTCCCATTGCCCCAGAAAGAAATGAGAAATTAATGGAATCAGTAATCATTACTGATGGTGTGACTACAGAAAAAAAAAAAAAGGAAAAAAATGTTTAAACATATGTCACGAATAGTTCAGTGAACGCAAGTCTCTGTCTTCCTTTTGTACCTTTAATATCCCCATGCTTCTGGAATCAACCATGTAGAACCAGAACCGAACGGTACACATTCCGAGGCTTGCTGGGAAATAACTGGAGGTTGTGATTCTTGCAGTTAATCCTTCTTTGGGGCCAGATGAGTTGACATACAGGAAGTGCTGGCCACTACCTTGAAATAGATTAACACAGGTTTTTTTCAGTGCTGTGATATATTTTATAGCATGAGGAAGACCGTGTTTAAACCACACACAAATATCCTTTTATTTCTAAAAACACACACACGTGCACACACACACACACACACACACGTAATTCATTTCCATTAAACAGAACTCATTTTCTTTTTGTGAGTCATATATCAATAACATTTAATTCTTTTGAAATAAAAGAAGTGTCATTATGATCATGGGAATCACAAAATTTACTTGGGCATTTGACTTGTGCATAACATGAACAAATATTTGCGTTGATTATAAGGATATATTCCTTTTCTCCCAATTTCCTCAAATCTGTCAGTTTCAAGTAAATAAAATATTTTGTATGCTGTCTGTAGAGCATGTATAGAGTGGGTATTGGGAACTGATTAACATTGTATCTTATTCTCAGTTGCTCTGATTCCCACACTGACCACAGTAGTAGCAAATGATTATAAATGCAAAGTGAAATGTGATCCTGACAGCCATCGCATAATATTTTCTGAGTAATAGATAACTTCCCTTCTTCTCAACTGCATTTGTATGTGAAAGATCTCTGTATTTAACCACAATTGATTTTTTTTGTTGATATTATTGTAAAACTTTGTGATAGCCACTGTATCCTTTTGTGATAGAATACACACACTGCATACACACATATTATTTTCTTAGGCTAATTATTTATTTGTATTTCCAAATGAGACTATTAAAATATTACCTCTAATTAAAAGTTTTCTTTTTTTCCTATGGTATTTTAGTATTGCTACTCCAATACATATTTTAAAATCACTACTTGAGAGTTAATAGTACAACAGTCTTCCTTTATGAGGCTTTTCTTATTAAGAGCTTGTTGTTAGGTGAATTGACTACCCTCCAAATAATCAGCATATGTATAAGTAACCTTTATCATACAGAATTTAATTCTTTAGTGCAAGAGATATTCATGCACTATTCCCCTGAATACAGTTGAAAATGGAAGTGGCCAGAGTGTACGGCAAAGGAGAGTTAGATGACCACATCACACCAACTAATGTACTGGCTTTTTGTCTTTTCATGTTTTTGAAGGAATAGAACTGTGGCTACTAGAGGTGGGAAAGGGGAAGGCGAGGGAGTGTTAGTGAGAAATTGGTTAATGGACACAAAGAATGATTAAGTTTTATTATGATGAACAGGCTAATTATCCTGATTTGATTACTACATATTGTACACAGGTATTGACAGTCAACTCCATACCCCACAAATATGTACAATCAATTATGTTTCAATTAAAAGAAAACATGGGTTGTGCAGTAAATAAGACTTCCTGTTTGTCTTATTTGAGTTGAGGGGAAAATTCAGAGAATTCCATATGGCCTCTGACTACCCCCATTTGTCTACTACTAACATCTTGTATTAGTGTGGTATGTTCGTTACAATTAATGAGCCCATGTTGATGCATTATTATTAATTAAAGTTCATACTTTACATTAGGGTTCACGCTTTGCCTTGAACATTCAATGGGTTTTTACAAATGTATAATGACATGTATCCACCATTTACAATATCATATAGAATCGTTTCACTGCCCTAAAATCCCCTGTGCTCCAACTCTTCATCTTTCTCTCCCCCCACAACCCCATCCTACTCCTGGTATCCACTGGTCTTTTTAAAGTCTCCATAGCTTTG